TAGCGCTGGTGGCGCTAGTTCTGGAGGTGTTGGAGCTGAAGGTCCTAGCACTGGAGGTGCTAGTTCTGGGGGTGCTAGAGCTGGAGGTGCTGGTGCTCGTGGCGCTAGTTCTGGGGGTACTTGTCAGAAACTAGGAATCAAGAATGCATAGGAAGACAGCAGTACACGGTTTGTATAGCAGAACTTAATTGGGCTGTGCCCCGTAAGGAGTGCCCCACTACAGCCTAGAGCATAGTTCTGACACACTCCCATAGGCAAAGTGGGGGACAAGCAAGAGAACGAAGCAAGGTCAAGCTCAAGGTGGATCACGAAGTCACCACGCATTCTGAGCACAAGCAAATGGCCACAAGGCCAGTTCACATGCAGAGTTATATATATAAAGAAGAACAATCCGGACAGTGATCAAAACCTAGCAAGTGTAAGCATGCAGGTATCAATATATAGATCACTGATCAAGCAAAGTCAAGAAGTGAGCAAGTGAGGCCAAGTAGGCACAAGGCCTAGAACAGTACAGAATCGCTTATGATCACAAGGCTGAAGTGCCTTGGTGAAGATATCAGCAGTGTTGGCCTGAAAGGCCACGTAAACAAGACGAAGGTGACCACGTTGCTGCAACTCTCGAGCAAGGAAGTAACGCAGAGCGATGTGCTTCGTTCTGTGCTCCTGTCTCTGCTCCTGACGTATAGAACTGGAGGAGAACGAGGCGCCTCTCCCAGGTCGATCAGAAGGTAGGTGAGCCAGCGTAACTCCTGTGCAGCCATGGCTCCTGCATAAATCTCAGCCTCACAGCTGGAGCTGAGAACAGAAGACGAGCGAGCGAGGGCTGAAAGTGTAACCCTGTGATGACCGCTGCGTAGCCAAGTCGTCAACCCAAGAAGCGTCTACGTGACCAGTGAGGACAACTGGACACCGTCCTCCAAGCACGAGGCCCATGCCCGACGTACTGCACAAGTAGCGCATCACCCTCGTAGGGGCCTTCCAGTGCTCTAGTCGGAGTCTCCAAGGCGCAACGTAGCGTGCCAAGATGCTAAGAGGGTAAGCAAGGTCAGGTCGAGTGCAGGTGATCAGGTACATGAGGTAGCCCACAAGCTCTGGATATGGGCCACTCGGCTCTACAGACTCATTCAAAGGTATAGCTGAGAGCGAGTGACCGGTAGGAAGAGGAGTGGACTGTGGCGAGGAGTACTGGAAGTCGAAGCGCTGAAGGACCTGCTGCACCATGTGTGACTGAGTCAAGGTAATGGTGCGCCGTGCTCTATCCCGAGTGATCTGCAAGCCAAGATAGCTGCACAGCTCACCAAGGCCTGTGCACGTGTGTCTCTTCTGCAGCTCCGACTTCACTAGAGTCAATGCCTCAGTGTCAGCAGTGGCAAAAACCAAATCGTCGACGTACACAAGGATGTAGAACGGCGGCAGCGAAGTGTCGGTGTGTAGAAACAGTGACGGGTCAGCAGTAGAAGGAACAAAGCCCAGAGCTGCAAGGGTCGTCCTCAGTGTGTCGTGCCACTCGCGAGGCGCCTCGCGGAGACCGTATACTGGCCGCCAGACGCTCCACTGGGTACCAGGTGGGCGGCGCAGCCAGATCTCCTTGTGTTGGCTGCCCTGTAAGAAAGCAGTGCTGAAGTCAAGAGAGTGAAGCTCGTAGTCACGCTGAGCAGCAACGTGCAGCAGAACCCGAAGAGTGGTCATCTTCGGGGTCGGGGAGAAGGTCTGGAAGATGTCAACTCCCTGTCGCTGAATGAAGCCTTGTGCAACGTAACTCGCTTTGAAGACAGACGGAGAACCCGGCGGCCGCTTCACCCTGAAAACCCACATGCCACTGACGATGTTCGCCCAAGGAGGGGGAACCTCGTCGACGTAAGTGCCTGTAGACTTCCAAGATGCCATCTCTGCGTCCATGGCTGACTGCCACTGAGAGGAATAGGGACCCTCTATTGCCTCTGCGTAAGAGCATGGGGTCAGGATGTCTGGTGCATCCGGGTCTCCCTCTGGTGCAATCAGCATGGACACGAGATGAGGTACAGCAGCTGCAAAGCACTCTAAGTCCTCCTGCCTGTCCTCAAGGACGTCCGTGCTAAGAGCACACTCACCCCCGACGGACGGAGGACAGACAGACCCTGACTCAGCAACAAGACTAGTGGCGTAGTCAAGACGACAGCGAGCAGCAAAGTCAACAAGCTCGGCAACTGAGGCAGACGCAGCGGTGGACTCAAAGGAAGGGTCAGTGACAACAGTGGCCAGGAGACGCGTGACAGAAGGACTTGCAGCACGAAGGGAGTCAGACTCCGGGTCCGGACCGTCACCTAGGGAGGACACAGGAGGAGACGGCAGAGGGACACGCAGTGGAACAGATGAAGGACGAAGTGCCATCTGGTGCGTGCCGGGGATAGGAGGAGGACGCGGACACGGAACACGACGACTAGTGCGAGCAGCGCGAACAGGCGACGCAGGGCGAGACTCAGGCTCACGACGCTCAGCATGACCTCCGGTCGGCAAGACCTCCAGTGTAAGGAGAAGGACCAGGTAGTGGGGAGGCTGGCTGTAACTGCGACTGCGACTGGACAGGCGGCGGACACAGTAAGGGAGGAGTTGGACCAGTAGAGGGCGAGAGACCAAGAACTTGTTGAAGGAGTGGAATGAAGTACGGTCGCGGCCGCGCCGCACCTCCAGAACTACCAGAGACAGCACCAGTACCCCTGAGCTCCAAGGTCTCCAGCTCCAACTCCTGCAGCACCACCAACTCCAGTACCTCCAGCAGCTCCAGCTCCAGTAGTACCTCCAGCAGAAACAGCTCCAGCGCCCCCAGCTCCAACTGCTGCAGCACCACCAGCCCCAACAGCTCCAGTAGCTCCAGTTGAGCACCTCCGGGACCAGCGGCGCCAGTACCTCCAGCAGCTCCAGCAGCAGCAGTACCTCAAGCTCCAGTAGCACCTCCGGCTCCAGCAGCTCCGGGACCTCCAGTACAAGCACCTTTGGGACCAGCGCCTCCAGCACCTCCAGCTTCTACAGTACCAGTAGTACCTCCACTGCCAGCAGCACCCCTAGCCATAGGCTCCCCAGCTCCAGCAGCACGGCTCCAGCGACGAGCAAACCACTCGCGCAGCTGCAGTGGAGAGAGTGGCTCCCGTTGAGACAAGACACCCGGAGGACCTCCAGAGGACAAAGTACCTCCAGGCTCAGCACACTCAGGCTCAGCACCCCCAGGCTTTGCACGCTCAGGCTCAGCACCCCTAGGCTCCTTACCCTCAGACTCAGCAACCCATGACTCAGCACCCCCAGGCTTCGCACCCGTAGACTCAGCAACCCCAGGCTCAGCACCCCCAGGCTCCGTACGCTCAGGCTCCGCACCCCAAGGCCCCGCACCCACAGGCTCAGCACCCCTAGCAGCACCAGACTCGATAGCTACCTCAACAGGCTCAATAGGATCGACCTGGGACACACCAGAGGGGGCAGGACCCTGAAGGGGAAGGGGGTCTACCGGAGGAGGACCTGGTGCTAGGAAGAGCGACGGGGGGGGGGGGAGAGGGGCAGTGCGGTAGGGGAAGAGACGATAGTAAGGAACCGACTCGTCAAACGTGACATCATGAGAGGACAGAACACGACGCGAGATGGGGTGGTAAAATTGCCAACCAGGCACGTCAGGGGGGAAGCCAAGGAAGACGCAGGGAACAGCACGGGAGGACAGCTTGTCCGCGGAAGAATCGCGGACAAAAGCTCGAGATTCCCAGACACAGAACGCAGACGTATTGCCAACCGTAGAGCAGGTCTGGTCTTCGGCATGGAGACACGGGGCTGGAGTTTGAGCTGATGCGTAGCGTACTGAACCGTGAATGGCCATAGAAAATGGGGAGCAGCCGCATGGATCATGGACGTACGAGCGACGTCCATGACCATGCCAATGCGGCGCTCATCAATCCCATTTTGTTGTGGGGAGGCCGGAAGCGTGAACGTCTGGCGGATGCCCTCCTCATGACAGAAGGCCTGTAGAAGGTCGGAGGAAAACTTTCCACCTCTGTCGTAGTGCAGACGCAGCACAGGAAGGTCCGAGTCAAAACTCTTGCGGACCTGGCAACGGGCAGCGCGGATCCAGGTGATCAACACCTTAGTGACCTCACCCTTGCGACGTGAGGGGAAGACTAAGGTGTAACGCGAGTAGTCGTTACCGACCAGCAGAAAGTAACGCTCGTGACCCTGTCCACGGAAGCGCGCTGGGCCCCACACGTCCATGTGGAGAGACTGCAGGGGAGCCTCCGTCGGAGGGAACTCGGAGGAGTGAGGGGCGGCGCGCTGCCGTCCCTCGACGCTAGGAACGCAGGTAGGGGCAGGCCTCGGGGGGAGGGGAGGGAGAGACCGGGGGAGACCGGTGAAAGGGACACGGGAGGCCATACCTCGGAGACAAGGCATGGAGGGGTGACCAAGGCGGTGGTGCCAAAGGAGAGTTTGGTGGGACAGGAGACGACACGAGCAGGGGGCAGACTCCGAACCAGACCTGGACTCGGCAGCAAACACCTGACCAGACGCGGCTACCTGACCTGACTCAGCAACCGAACGAGATGTTGTAGTCAGTGTGTACAGGCTCAACCCAGGCTGACGGTTGAACGTGCCCAGGTGGAGGCCAGTCCGATTACACATACAGTGGGTCACCCGTTGACCTCCAGGAGTGAACCCACACGTCCTGGAGGTCAGCTCCACTCACCAAGTTCGTAGAGAATGAGGGGAGGTGAAGACCCGACAGTGAGCCAGACGAGACCGCCGGATACGGCAAAACCGTAGAGGAGTGCACAAGGAAGCTCAGCGGCGTCAGGAAACTCTGCACGCCAGGCGTCAGTCAGGCGACTGAAACAGCGTTGCGTTGCGTTTGGCAGCCCGCACATCTCCCCACGGCGCTCGCCGGTGCGGAGAACGTAAGCGCAGGGACCAGTACCCCTAGACCTCCCACGCACAGCGTACCAATCACGAAGCTGCTGGGGTGGCGGGGCCTCACAGGAACACAGCAGCTGCTAGCACTTGCCACCGCCAAAGCCTCCACGCTGCACGGCTCCACCCCGACCATCACCACCGCCGCCGCCACCCCCACTGCCGCTGCCGCCACCGCCCCCACCTCCATCGCCGCCACCGACGCCCCCGCTCCCGCCACCACCCCCACCTCCACTCCCACCCCCTCCACCTCCTCCACCGCCACCACCGCCGCCCCCGCCGTCCCCTCCACCACCCTTTTCCCCCTTGCCCTTGCCGCTGCGGCGCCTCCCACTAGGAGCAGTTGCAGCCCCGACGGCCTCGGTGCCAACGAGGTTGACAGCAGCAGCAGAAGCAACAGAGGGCAAAAGGGGAACGGGGGAACACCCCTCAAAGAAAGGGGCGCGAGGGTTGCCGCGAGAAACTCCTACAGCGACTATGCTAGTCTCAACTGCAGTGAGCCGCTCCTCGAGCATGTCGAAGGTGAGCTCGGTGGGGCAAAGGGAGAGAAAGTGGTCCCTGAATGAGCGAAAAGAGTCAAGGAGATGGGTGACGAGGTAGAAGAGGGTGATGTACATGGGGGGGGGGGGGGGGGGGTCTTGATGCAAAACTCGTAGGGAAGCGCAGCGCAGTAGCGGGTGTCACTAGTGCGGAGGTGAGTGATGAGGTCAGCGGCTGTGGCAAAAGCAGCGAGGTCAGGGAACAAGTACGGCAGCATGAGGCGGCTGAGGGCAGCAGAGGCAGGGGAGGAGTAGCGTGCGACGACAGTGTCATATAGAGACTTAGCTGTCTTGGACTGGCCAAAATGCGCGCGCTCAGCAGACGGCAGGTGACTACGACCAGCAAGGCGAGCAACAGCGTCATGAGTAGTCCGCTGTGAGCAAACCGTACTGTCAGCGTCGGCAGCACGTGCAACAGAGGCGCCGGACGTGTGATCGAAAAGCGAGACGCCGTCCCTAGAGTCGCACTGAAGATAGAGCTGCAAGTCATCTACCCAAATTTCAAAATTGACCGCACGGCCCTCAGCATCAAAGGTAAGAATAGTAGGACTAGCCATGGCGGCAGTAGCAGTAGGGCAGGACGGCGCAGCTCGGCAGGGCGGCGCGGCTCGGCAGGGCGGCGCGGCTCGGCAGTGCGGCGTGGCTCGGCTAGGCGGTGCGGCACGGCAGGCAGGCGGGCGCAGCGGCGCACTTGGCAGGGCGGGCGCCTACCAGGGGCGGGTGCAGGGCAGGGCCGCGACTAGCGAATAGGGCAGGGCCGCGACAGGGCAGCAGTAGAACAGGGCCGCGACGGGGCGGAAGTAGGGCAGGGCCGCGACAGGGCGGCTGCAGGGCAGGGCCGCGACGGGGCAGCAGTAGAGCAGGGCCGCGACGGGGCGGCAGTTGGGCAGGGCCGTGACATGCGGCTGCAGGGCAGGGCCGCGACGGGGCGGCGGTAGAGCAGGGCCGCGACGGGGCGGCAGCAGGGCATGGCCGCGACATGGCGTGCGGAGATAACTGCTGCAACGGGAGCTAGACTACGGGCTAGGCACGTGTGCTCGTGTGATCTCCGCGTTCGTTCACTTAGTCGTTTCCTTGTGTTCACGCTGCTTGCAAGTTCACGGGGAGAAATGGCAAGAGTTTCACTAGGAAAACATGACAACAATGATAGCAACAACATTGGCATCACAGACTACATCAGTGCTAGCTAGGCTGCTGGTCGACCTCCAGCGCAGCACGGTCGACCGCGCTCCAGCGCAGCAGCGCTCGCACCGCTCCAGCGTTGCAGAGTAGCGGTTCTCCAACGTTGCAAGTCCACGGTGTGCCAGCGCTGCACCAAGTCGGCTGCACAGCGTTGCACCCGCAGGACAACGGTGCACCTGCTTCGCAGGTGCGCGCAGCTGGTTGGCGCTCCACACCTTGTCACGAGCACAGCGCAGACGCCTGGCAGACTCCACGCCAGCAGCTGCGCCCACCAGCCACGTCGACCTCGGGATACCACCCCCGAGGTCGGCCTCGCATACTCCACCCTGGCGACACTCGCACACGTCGCCCGGGTATTCCGGTCGACCGGGCAACCATGCCTGGCCGACCAGCGCAGTCCGTAGCCGGCCACGCATGTCCGGCGTCCCCAGTCCGGCGTCCAGGCGCCCAGGACGCCTTCCGAACCCCCAGGTCGGCGTCCAGACGCCCAGGACGCCGACCAAACCTCCAGGGCGGCGTCCCTTCTCCCAGGACGCCGACCAGACGCCCAGGTCGCTGTGTGGGCCCCCCGGGACGCCCAGTTCGGCGTCCGGACCCCCAAGACGCCATGCATACGCCTAGGTCGGCGTCTGGCCTTCCAGAAGGCCGTGCAGGCGCCCACGACGTCGACCAGGCGCCCGGGTAGTCGTGGCGACGCCCAGCTCGGCGTCCAGCTTCCCAAGACGCCCTCAAGATGTCCGGGACGCCAACCAGGCGTCCAGGGCGGCGTCCTCCAGCTCGGCGCCCTCCAGCCAGGTGCCCTCCAGCTTGGCGCCCTTGCAGTGGCCCCCGTGCCCACTGCTGCAGGTCGGCTGCAACCCCCGCACATCCGACCACAAGGTTGGCTCCGCCCAAGCGAGGACGGGGCCTTACAACGCTCCCGTTGACACTCCCCTGCCGCATTCACGCTTGGGCCCCTAGCCCACACAGTAGTACAGCTCCGAAAATAGCCCGTCGGCGTGCACCCAACACACAGCACGCCGGTCACCGCACCAGCCATGCAAGAGGGCATGGCACCTACTGCTGCACGTCGTTGTCGCCGTCGCCCACGTCGGCCAAGCGCACCTGGCCGATTGCGACGGAGCACCGGTTGAAGGCCGGATAGTGCAGCGCCTTCGTTAGGAAGTCGGCTCGCTGATCAACGGTCGGGATGTGTCAGATTATTATAGCTGATGCATGTTTGTAGGCTATAGTGGGGTAGCACATATGGGGTACAGCTTTCTAGGGTTGTATTTGTACCCAACCCTGACTTAGTCATTCTCATTCCTGGTCATTTATTTCACATGGTATAGAGCGAGTTCCCTGTGGGAACGTTGCCTAGGGCCCACCGAAGCGCGCCCCGAGGCGCGCATTTTTTTTAGCGACCCCTCGAGTCGCCCTTTCCCTCGTGGCCCCGCCGTCCCTCAGACGCGGCCCCGCCACCCCTTCTGATCGCGGCCCCGCCACCCGATCCCGGCCCCGCCGCCACGTCGCGGCCCCGCCGCCCGATCGCGGCCCCGTCGCCCGCTACGAAGCGGCCCCGCCGCCTGCTCTGACGCGGCCCCGCCGCCACCTCTTACGCGGCCCCGCCGCCACCTCTGACGCGGCCCTGCTGCCTGATCTGACGCGGCCCCGCCGCCACCTCTGACGCGGCCCCGCCGCCGCCTCTGACGCGGCCCCGCCGCCTGATCTGACGCGGCCCCGCCGCCTCATCTGACGCGGCCCCGCCGCCGCCTCTGACGCGGCCCCGCCGCCTGCTCTGACGCGGCCCCGCCGCCCACTACGACGCGGCCCAGCCGCCGACTACGCCGCGGCCCCGCCGCCCGCTACGCTGCCGGCCCCGCCGCCTGCTCAGCCGCGGCTCCGCCGCCCTCTCTGCCGGCTCCGCCGCTCCACCAGCCGCGGCCCCGCCGTCCCCGCCGCTGCACCTGCCGGCCCTGCTCCGTCGGCCCCGCTGCCCCTGATCTCGCGGCCCCGCCACCCTACCTGCAGCAGCCGAGCCGCCCACCTGCAGCAGCCGAGCAGCAGTGCAGCCGAGCCGCCCCGCACCCGAGCCGCCCTGCCGCTGAGCCGCCCGGGAGCCGAGCCGCCCTACACTCGAGCCGCCCTGCCGCCGAGCCGCCCGGGAGCCGAGCCGCCCTGAACCAGAGCCGCCCTGCCGCCGAGCCGCCCGGGAGCCGAGCCGCCCAGCAGCCGAGTCGCTGAGTCGCCGAGCCGCCCTTCTGCAGAGTTGTCCGGCCTGCCCTGCCTGGTAAGCACAGTCCCACTGTCACTGCGTGCTCTTCCCCTAATGCTTGCACTGCTTCGCTGTCGTCGTCATGGCTACCCCTAGTGTCCTAGCTTTTGACGCTGAGGGTCGCGCCATTGACTTTGAGGTCTGGGTAGACGACCTGCAGTTGTTTTTACAGTGCGATAGGGCAGACGACCTCTCTCTCTTTGACCTTACCTCTGGCGCCTCTCCTGCTCCTGCTGCTGATGCTGATCCCACTGTGCGCTCTCAGTGGGCCACCCGCGATGCTGCTGCACGTCTTGCTGTGCGTCGCCACCTCCCTACCTCTGAGCGCGCGCACTTTAGTCAGTACAAGAGTGCTCAGACCTTGTACGACGCTGTAGTTGCGCGCTACTCCTCCCCTGCCACTGCTGCACTGAGCCGTCTTATGCTTCCCTACCTCTTTCCTGACCTCTCTGCCTTTCCCACTGTCGCTGACCTCATTACGCACCTCCGCACTAGTGACACTCGCTACCGCGCCACCCTTCCTGCTGAGTTCTGCGCTAAGAACCCCCCCCCCATGTTCATCACTCTCTACTACGTAGTCGCACGCCTCCCTGACTCCCTTCACGTCGTCAGGGACCACTTTCTCACAGTCTGTCCCACCACCCTCACCGTCGACGTCCTCGAGAAGGCCCTCCTAGCAGCGGAGAAGAGCATAGTCGCTGTAGGAGCTTCTCGTGGAGACCCTCGCACCCCCATCTTTGAGGGGTGCTCTCCTTCCCCCTTGCTGCCCTCTGTTGCCTCTGCTGCTGCTGCCGACCTGCTTGGTCTTGAGTCGGTCGGCGCGGCGTCTGCCCCTAGTGGGAGACGTCGCTCTGGCAAGGGCAAGGGGGGCAAGGGTGCGGGTGGAGCTGGAGGGGGCGGTGGCGGTGGCGGCGGAGGCGGCGGAGGGAGTGGGGGTGGCGGCGGGAGTGGTGGCGGGGGTGGTGGTGGTGGCGGCAGCAGCGGCGGAGGCGGCGGTGGTGGTGGCAGCGGTGGTGGTGGTGGCAGCGGCGGAGGTGGAGGCGGCGGAGGAGGCAGCGGAGGAGGCGGTGGTGGTGGAGGGGGTGGAGCTGGTCGGGGTGGTACCCAGCAGCAGAGCGGCGGTGGTGGTGGTGGCCAGCGCTCGCAGCAGCAGCAGCAGCAGCGTTCGCGGGACATCCCTCCGCCTCAGCAGCTTCGTGAGTGGTACACTCAGCGTCAGAGGGGTGGGGGTACTGGTCCTTGCACCTACGTCCTTCGTTCCGGCGACCGCGCGGGTGAGCAGTGTGGGGGTGCCCACCCCACTCAGCGCTGTTTTGGCCGCCTGACGGACGCTTGGCGTCAGCAGTTCCCCGGGGCTAGTGGAATCCCTCGCTGGGATGAGCTTCTTAGGGCTGGTGTAGCGATCTTTGATCTTGACTTTGATGCTATCCTTGCTGCTATGTATGCTGTGACTATTAGTGAGGAGACTGAGGGTTACCGGTGTTTCCAGCCCGACCCGGGCATTGGTACTGCTGCGCTAGGTGCTTGTGAGGCTGCTGCTCTAGGTGCTAGTGCGTCTGCGCACTCAGGTACTGGTGAGACTGCGCTCTCAGGTACTGCGTCGCCCTCGTCCTCCCTTACTTTCACACTTGAATCTGGGGCTTCTCGCTCCTTCTTTCGAGACCGCACCACCCTTACGCCGCTTGGCTGGCCGGTTGCCGTCTCCCTGGCTGACCCCTCTGGGGGTCCTGTCCTCTCTCACTTCTCCACTGTCCTCCCGTGTCCGGCTGCCCCTTCGGGCACCCTGTCTGGTCTGTACCTTCCCTCGTTCTCTACGAACTTGGTGAGTGGAGCGGACCTGCAGGATGTGGGGGTTCACCAGTTCACTCCTGCGAGTCAGCGGGTGACCCACTGCACGGAGGCACGCACAGGCCGACACCTGGCCACGTTCTCGCGTCGGCCGGGGTCGAGTCTCTACACCCTGACCGTTGAGTCTCCTCCTGTCCCTGCGTCTGGTCAGGTGGCTGCGTCAGGTCAGGTGCTTGCTGCTGCGTCCCGGTCAGGTCCTGAGTCTGCCCCCTGTTCTTGTCGCCTCCTGTCTCACGAGACTCTCCTTTGGCACCACCGTCTTGGCCACCCCTC